TATAAGTATGATATTGGCTATGTTTTACCTTATGTTGCAATCTTTAATGAAATTGTTGGATATATGATTGGAAAGTAGCAAAAAACTGATAACAAATTTTAAATTTATTCTGTATCATTCAATTCAGAGCTTACAATTTAATAGCATACAACAAGTTTAGCTTTCAATCGTTTGTTTTGTAGGTTGATGAACAGATTACAAGAGGAAAGTTTAATAGATTTATTCAATAGAACCTTATTCTTTGATTTATTCTATATTATGACTCCTCTCTCAATAAGTGTTCAATTTATTTTAGTAATTATAATAGATTTGAACAAACATCACTTTATGTTAATAATTTACATTCATTTAATTTAGTTACAGTCGCTGGTTTCATCCAAACATCTCAAGAATCGGAGCAGAGAGACTGCTGACCGAGAGGGGATTTGATGGTAGCTTTATAGCTCGTCCCAGCAAGTCCAATCCGGGAGATTTTACATTATCTGTTCGGTAAGGAAATAAAATTTGATTAACACTGTGTAAATTTAGTGTTTGTTATTTCATAATTTTATACCAAAATTTTTGTTTTCTCACTCACTGATAAACAGTTAATAATTATACAATCCTTAAAAATTTTGTTGACATCAATGATAGGGATATATATTAAGATATAATTAACATTTTAATTTGCAACACTATTGTTTTGAAAAAAATATTTTCTAATTATAGACGAAATGGTGAGGTGACACATATCAAAATTCAAAACACTGGCGACTACTATGATCTTTATGGAGGGGAGAAGTTTGCCACGCTAGCTGAATTGGTGCAGTATTATATGGAAAAGCAGGGACAGCTACGAGAAAAAAATGGTGAAATTATTGAACTAAAGTATCCTCTTGTCTGTGCGGATCCCACCACTGAAAGGTGAATGAATTTTCAAATTTTTTTATTCTAAAGATATTTCAGTTTTTGTTGATATGTGAAAATAGTTTAATTTGGAAAACAATGAATAAACAGATTGTCATAGGATCCTAATCAGAGATGTTTCTGCATCTTCTTCAGTTTATTTTCAGTTATATTTTCTATTGTTAGTAACATAATGACATAAAAGTAGTTAAAGACAAACCTACTGTATATATACAAATATAAACATCCAAACCCAATAGTTATATATTAAAGTCGAATGATTGCCGAATTATATCGAGCTGTATTACTACTGCTATTATTAATTAAATGCTAAGTACTTAGGTGCCATATCTTATCTATTAGTAATATAGACTGATATAATTTAGCAATTGTTTGGCTTTAAGATAAACCTGTTTTTAATATTGATGAATCAATGTATGTATTTATGGTTCCCAAAGCTGATGTTAGCATCATGCACTTTTTAATGTACAGATCGGTTAACGAACAGATCGGATAACGAACACTTTCGCGAAAGATTTTTATGTTCGGACAACGAACACATGATCGAATTATGAGCACACCATAGAACAAACACAAGAAGAAGCGATGTAAAATAATGAATACTGATTGGTCTTCCCTTGTCTTCAGACAACAATTCGAAACTTTTCAGAGTGTGGGAGACGTCGACATCGATGCTCAAGCCGGTATATACCGATCGGATAGTATTCCTCCGAACTTTGAAACTCTCCCTTGTAATTCCATCCTTTTATTTTTCTGACAAAACAATTCTTTTATGTATTCACGAGACTGTTGGGTAGGCACTCATTAAGTTTTGTGTCTGTTTTTCTTTTTGAAAGATGAGAGTATAATAGCAAAGGTAGAGAGTGGGCAGAAGATGCCAAATGTTGCTGGGCAGTATGGCGTGAACAGGTCTACAGTAGGCCGCAGTTAAATCTTATTTAAGAAAAATACTGTATAATCAAGAAGACTCAAGCAGCTAAAGGAGTAACAAAAATTACATTTGAGAAATAAAGAACATCGAGGAGTTCATAATGGAACCTGAAATGGATCTGATGACAGAAGAACGCCAAGAACTCTTGAATGAAGAACACCAAGAAACTCGGTGAGATATGTTTTCTTCTGAAAAAGAGGATTAATGCCGATATCTGCTATTAAACATCTTTTGAAGAAGTGGGAGGATGTCAGAACAACAGTCTTAGAATGGCATCCAAACCAGGTTGAGGCTTGGGGATTTCTACAATTGCAATTACTTACGAAAAATCCTGAAGAAGAGAGAAAATCAATCGACATTAGACAGATTCTTTAACCCTTTTAAACAGAAAAAACATGACTAATAAAAATGCAAGACAGTGTATGGATGTATTTTTATTATTACATAAAATAAACATAGTAAGAAAGTATATATTTTTTATTTTTGGAGGTCTCCAGAACGAATTAATTAAATTCTCATTAAAACCTATGGTAAATCTATAATCGGTTAACGAACAATTCGGATAGCGAACTAAGTCTTGGAACAGATTATGTTCGTTAACCGATCACCCACTGTATTATGGAGTCATGATAATGATCCCATTATGCATAAGAGAAGATTATTATGATATTTTAGTTATTATAAAGTGCAAACAGTTCCATTATGTGATAACTATGTATTTTATTATAACTTTCTATTAATAAAATACTTTTAGAACCTTTATTTTTAAAATATTTCAATTAAATNGGTATCTTTATATATTTAAAAATTACAATATAGTTTTAGAACGACATTATTAAGTAAATTTGCAGTCACTCGTGCTTGGTTGCCAAGCTCGACCGGGGATTTAATTTGCTAAATTGCTTATGACTCATCAATCTTAACACAACCTAAATAGTTGCTAGTTCTTTAAATATCAATATTCTCTCTTAATTGGATGTATTCGTCTCCAAAGTTAATTTTTTTTAATCATTAAATAAGGCACTACAGGTTCTTGTGACTGAATTTTCACATAGAAAATTACATTTTTTTAGGATATTGCGGAGAAATTAGAACTGCAACATCTTTCTCTCGAATTCTGTCGCTATTTCCAATAATAATATGTAATAATCAACAGATTAAAACGGAGATGGATTCTAGTCAGAAGTCTAGGAGACTTGTCCTTTCTGAAATGACTTTCAAAATTAATTGTAAGCAGAAATGCTTGAGATTTTCTATTGATTTTTCATTAATAACCTAATGTGTGCTATAAGAGAATATTAAAAACAACAATTTTGTATTTGCTAAGTTGATTTATTGGAAGAACTAATTTAAATATATATCTATATTTAATCAAATTAATTTTTAAAAAATATTTTTATTTGACATTATTTTAAGTAAAAAGTAATTCTTTAAGTAAGAATTCATAGGTGCATTTTAATCAATACAATCTATATCCAACATGTTGTGGAGCATAATTTATATTCTATAGCATCCTAATATATGGAAGATAAACACTATTAATGTAGTGAAACTTTAGTAGAATTTTGTACAGAATCATTCATTGTCATACCTATGGTAGCATTATAGTTGTATATTTACTTTTCTTTGTAATCTTCAGTTACTTAGGAACTAAAGCTGATTTTGAGGTATATTAACTTTAAACAATTATTTACAGTAGCTATGCAAGTAATTTAATTTGTATATTGGCAGAAAATGGTGTCAATTTGCACTCTGCATGAAAAGTTTATTGGTATGTATCAATTTGAGGATAAAAATGGAAATTCATACTCAGCTATCTCAAACACAATCTACTGCACATGTATTAAAGTATGCAAATATAAAGATTTTTACTTTATTACTCAAAACAGTGGCTGAATGTTTCACTTCCTTTTGATAGAACGTTGCAGATCTTTTGATTGCTTTAAGTCATACTTTTATACTTACTGTCTTATTTAAATTTTTTTACTTGTTTGCCAAAGTCACATGATTTTGGATTCATTGTTTGCTCACAGATCTTTTGCTCATTGATGGATATCCACGGAATTATTCTATGTCAGCAATTCTCAAAGTTATTAATCTGTGGACCACTTAAACCAAGTCACGGATAAACCACAGATCACCTATGATACGATCCACTTCTTATCCTGCAAATATCATCTTAAAAGGCTTAGGAAACTATAGATTGTGTGCCACAATATTTTCTCTAGCTGGTAACATAGCATAACATCTATGTTTTTCTGGTTAAATAGCATAGAATTGCATTTTGCTGATCAGTCTGTGTGCTTGTTCGTGGACCAGTGGTCTAAGGACCATGCTTTGAAAAACAGCTTTACATTCATTTTGGTGAATCAGTGTTTCACAGTTTTGATTTATTTTAAAGCAAACTTTTGAAAAATCTGAAAGACTGTCTGTGAATTGTAACTATGTATAATTTTTTTATCTTCATACTAATTTTGTTTGTTTCTTTGATAAAAATTTAGATATTCATTATCATTTTAGATAGTCATTATCGAAAGTTTGAAGCCATTTGAGATCAAATTTCAGTTACAATGCATCTAAAGCTCAATGTCTACATAATGCAATTTGCATCTGTGGAATTCATCTATTCCTTTGTTATTTTGGAATATATAAAACAATAATATTGGTTTGTTTCAGTGGCGTGCCGTGACATTTGATGATAGGGAAGCTGTGTTTCTGTAAGAAGCCAACAACCAGGGGCAATCAGTCAATCGCTCGTCAGTGATGGTCTAGGGTCCATTTGTATCGTTTATTCGATAAGCCAGTAAAAACCGCAGACTTTTCTAAATGTATTTTTAATATCAAAATTACATTCCAAATTGCTAGCCACGATATAAGGGCTACAATTAAAAATAAAATAATAAAAACTTACTTGGTGACATAAAATGTGTGGTGGATGTATCGGTACATACCTGGTACAAAATATTCTTCAATTGTACAAATATACTTTTAAAGAAAATTATAATTTAATATATCTCTGTAAAGAAATGTACATAAAAATAAGTACAGTAGACAATAAAAAAATAGTAAATAAAATACAATAAAAAATAGACAATAAAAAATACAGTAGACCCCCCTATAATGCTTAGATACGTTCCACGCTAATCGAATTTTACGTTGTAGGAATGATTAAATACATGAGCCAATCGCAGCCCAATAGGTGGGAACTTTACGGACTAAGGCTGTTCGAAAGGTTTTCTTCTATAAAATTAACCGATTCTAGACTAATTCCACTCAACATTTCCAAAACACATAATTTTTTGGGAATAATCCGTATAAACTATGCTATAAACAAAAAATTATATGATTACNGGAGTCGGTCGATAACGGACGATTACGCCACTGTTTATGTTCATTCGTGCAGTTTTCGATGAGTCATATCATTCTTAACTTGGACGGAAATGAAATTTGTTACAACTTAGCCTTTCATATTTGTTGTTAGTAATTTAAAAGACATTTTGAAACACATACGGAACGATAATAATTTTTTAAAATATAATAACACAAAAATGAAAAGGGAACTCGGGTACATTTATTGAGAACCACAAATAATCCTTCAAAGAGACGCATGTGGCTCACAAGCCACAGGTTGGCCACCCCTGGTATATGTAAATTCTATAGGCAATTCACATCATTTGCAAAAAAATTGAATAATTAAATAATTTCTGGATTAAAATTGACTGTTTCTTTACAATATTATTCATAAATGCTTAAATAATCGTTATTTTAATAAAATACGTCCTAATTTTAATCCCAAACACAAAAAAATGAAGTTTAAGTCGAACTTCTACTCGTCATGCTAGACATAGCAAACACCCTTATCGACCTTCTAGAATTGCCAGATGGTGGTGCTCAATGTCCAACATTCACGTTTTGGGCTGAAAATGTTGGCTGCAACCTCTCTGATATTGCATACAATTTACATGTAAATAATTTGCATTACAACTTATTTCTTGTTTTTATGCATATTTTTACAAAATAATGTAATATTTTTCTAATTACTGACATTTTGAATTATTAGTATTATATTAAATTTATTTTTAGAGCACTGCTGTAACAAAGAAAACCAGATTTTTATTCTTTTATTATACTATAAAATTTTATATAATGAATGCAAGCTAATCCACAAGTGGTTTAATTTTAAAAATTAAAAATTATTGTTATATTTTTTATAAAACACCTTCACAGAAAAAGTGATATTAATATTATGAATACATAATGTTAATATCACGTTAATGTAGGATTTATCGTAGATAGCCAAGGTTCCACTGGAACCTCTGCTATCTATGATAAATTCTACATATTCTGTTAGAAATAATGGAAACTTTGTAGCTTTGGTTGGGCAAAGTCATGCTTACAGAAATACCATATAAGGCTAGCTTGCTATAAAGAAGTGCTCTGCAACCTTTTCTCATGCATGGCACAATAAACAATACTGATTTACTGTATTTTTACTTATGATGATATAAAAATATTTGAAATTAGTTTATAAATTATTTTCTTATTTCTCATTTTGATTTTTTTTAACAACTCATAAACCACCCTGAATGAAGTATCATGCATTCCTAGCATCAAAAGCATATGATTGGGGTCTTGACTTTCTGATTGTAGATGCATGTGACAGAGACATCATGTACTTGAGCTTCACAAAAATTAAGATGGTAACTATGACACATGATTCACAAAATTCACATGTGCAAAGATTCTGTGAAATATGACTTGTCTTCAAACAGTATGACTGTTTGAAGACAAATTTGTGAGTCAACATGTGCACATATTCTATAAAGTATGCAAAAGTGTAAAAATTTGAAGCTTGTTAGAATTCTTTCTGTCACAAACATCAGTGGCAATAAACATTTAATAGGCAAACCATTGTTCCTTTTGAATCAGCATGTATTTATCATATTAACATGTCCACTATAAACTGTGCTTTTTCTCCTTTTGGAGGTATTGTGCCTTGGAACATCTAGCATTCTCTCATTGCACACTGGTTGCAGAACTCTGCTATAAGGTATGATTAGGAACATAATCACAAATGCTATTACAATTTGTTGATACTACCACTTACTTATTTAATGTTGTTATAATAATTAATATGATGTGTGTCCAGAAAGTAAGTACCATTTGCATATATCTTCCATGCATTTTGGCAATGTCAAGATGTGCATGAATAGTTACTTCTACTCAAGAACAAAGTAACTGAGCCATATTTGTTTTTCTTCTTCACATTTAGGATCAAAGTGCCAGTTATAATGTTCATAATAATTGAGCAGTTTGCCAGTTGTGAAATATGATTAGTAATTAAGTTTTTGAATGCAAACAATGTTTGACCACAAAATTTACAAACTAAATGTGATAAGTGAAAGTATGGCAAAAAGTGGGTTTGAATGTTTAACAAAGAAGGGACAGTGTTTATGACAAGGAGTGTAGTGACTGCCCATCCCTAGTTAATAAAGACTTGCTACGCAATGTCAAAGATAGGATTCATTCCAATAGACAGTTTACAATTTCTGATTTCTCTACAGTTTCCTGACATTTCAAGATCTTTGCTGCATGAAACTGTGACTAAATACTTGCACATCAAAATGTGTTTGAGAGGGTGCCAAAAATGATAATGGAAGTTTACAAAACAAAATACATGGAATCAGCCTTAGAACTTTTGCAGTGGTATTAAGGGTAAGGAAATGGATTTTTGAAAAGAACTGTCATTGGTGACGAAACATAAATTTGCCACATGACACCAGAAAGCAACAACAATCATTGCAACATCCTGAAAGAGTTAGTCACAGGTGATGGAATTCTATGAACAGGTTATCTTTAATTTAGTGACAAGATATGAAAAGTGCCTCAATTTGCAAGGCAATTATGTTGAAAAGTGGATTAAGATATGTATTATCTAATGGTGATTAAATAATTTTTGTTTCAAATGCCTACTTTTAAATAGCTAAACAGTACTTTTTTCTGGATGCAGCTTGTATAACAAAGTACAGTTCAAATGTAAATAATTTAATTGTACTTTTTACATCTGTAAATATTTTTGGAGCATTTTATTTTGTTTTTATTGGAATAAAACTGTCACAAAATTAAAATGAATGCATTGAATCCTTTAATTTTTATTGCAGTTATTAGTACAGTCATTAGTACATATTATATTCAAATTTGAAATTAATGGTGGTTCATTGTATTTCTGTGACTTTTAGGTGGTTTCATGGACCATTGTCTGGAAAGGAAGCTGAAAGATTAGTTATTGACAAGGGCAAAAATGGTAGCTTTTTAGTTCGGGAGAGCCAGAGTAAACCAGGCGATTATGTCTTGTCTGTTCGGACTGACGATAAAGTCACTCATGTCATGATACGCTGTCAGGTATAAGTTTGTTATATTGTTTTTATAGCATTTAATTTTCACATTTTATAATTTATTTTGGTCATTTTATAGAAACAAACAACAGATAGATGAAAATTACTTGCTTTACCTCTTCTATTCACGTTTGCTTAGTTAATTTATTTGTCTGTGGCTTTCTTAATATTTACTCTGTTTGTTACTGATAAATAAAGAAACTGGAACTCATGATTAACCTTGTTGTTTTGAAATTTAGGACGGTAAATATGATGTTGGTGGGGGTGAAAAATTCGATAATCTTACTGATCTTGTTGAGCATTACAAGAAAAATCCCATGGTTGAGACATCTGGAACTGTCGTGCATTTAAAACAACCGTTCAATGCCACACGCATAACTGCTTCAACGATAGAATCTCGTGTGAAAGAATTATCCAAGGATAATTGTGTTACTAATGGAAAGGCAGGCTTTTGGGAAGAATTTGAGGTTTGTATTTTGTGTATAATAAAAATTACAATTAAAAAAATTTTTTAAATATGTCAATTGTTTTCAGTATCTTCAACAACAAGAATGTAAGCACCTTTATAGCAGGAAGGAAGGACAGAAATCTGAGAACAGAGCAAAGAATCGTTACAAGAACATTTTGCCATGTAAGTTTATACCCATGATATATTAATGATTTTTTAAATTGTAGATTTAACATGCAATTTTTTGTGACATCGAAAAACCTTCAGTTGATCATACTCGTGTAATTCTAACTGGAGTTGACCAAAATGTGCCCGGATCTGACTATGTAAATGCCAATATAATTAGGGTATGATTTGTTAATTTTTATTAATGTCTTTTATGTTTTAAGATTAAAAATTAAAGTTGTTTTAATTATAAATTCTAGCCAGAAGAAACCGGACCGGGTGATGCACCTAAAACTTATTACATTGCAACGCAGGGATGCCTAATGAATACCGTAGGTGATTTCTGGTGGATGATATGGCAAGAGAATACTAGAGTGATTGTCATGACTACTAAAGAAGTGGAAAGAGGAAAGGTTTCTAAATTTATTTATTATTTTGAGTTTAAATCTGACATGAATTCTCATAATTTATTGTTAGGTGACACTTCATTAACAATTTATGTAGCCATATTATTTGTAGTATGCCTTGAAAAATTATTGCTGTATTATGATGATCACAACAATAATTAGATGCATGTAGCATAAAGATATCTACTTCACATTAGATGACATTTGTTTTATTTATTAAAATTTAACATTAGGATAGAAAACTATTATGACATTTAGTTTGTTCAGTATGTGCCTCATTCTCAAAACTATAATAGTATAGGGTAATCATAAAGTTTCTGTGCTGGGAAATATGTTCTGGCTCTTCCAATTAGAGCTTATGACAAGTGAACTTGATGAAAATTCAGTAGTTACTTCTAACGCAGTACCACTTCAAAATTCAAACTTAACAATTTACAGTTTTCTTTAGGACTTCATGAAAGTGAAATTTTTTCACCTTTATCTTACAATGGCTGAAGAATAAAATCAACTATTGGGGCTATTTTAATGACTTGCAACCAGTGGCACTCGAAGACTGTGAAAAAGGCGGACACAAGCTATTAAAAAGAACATTATGCAAGAAGCTTCAAACTATAATTCAATGTCAGATCAGCACTCCTACAAGGTGGTGGTGTTGGTTGCAATCAGAGATATCTTGGCCTTCAAAACAAGGAATGTAATTTTGGTCAACATATGATGAAGTTGCATGGAATAAATTTAGTTCATTATTTTCTTTTACATTTGCAGATTAAGTTATTAGTCATGAATTTTCTGTTTGTTGATAATGAAATTTGGGGCCTTCTTGGGGATTAGGTAAAAGGAAACTCAGACAAAAAAGGGAGGCATTTGCTCCAAGTGTCCCAAGTGTCAAAATGTCCATGCTGATGGTTGCAAGCACCTCTGCTTGCAACCATCAGCATGGAAGATGTTCTCTCAAATGTGGGGCAAAAAGTTTGTGCAAAAAATGAAGGGTAATGTGCAGGTGACGTGTAAGTAGGTTACATAGGAACTCTGACACCTTATTATATTAAATTGGGATTTTAACATTATAATTTGGAATGTTTATGCCAAAATTACCTGTAGTAATTTTACAGAATGAAATGTTTAAACAAAGATATTCAAATAGTTTTTTGGATATGACTTAACAATTAATAATTAATAGAAGAAATTAAAGATTCAGTTCATATAAAAATAAAATTAGCAGTAAATAATTGTTTTATAGATTTTAATTAATTATTAGAACCAAAATTTTATATCTACTACTTGTGTTAACCAATCAGTCAAAAACATTGTAAGCTTTGTACTGAACTGAAACTATTTACTGTAATATATTATTCCAGCAAAATTATTAAATAAAGTTGCTGGAATAAGTACAAAAGGTGTCATTGTGTGCGTACATGTAACATTGAGACATCTGGAAATTGATTATTCGATTTTTATCTATTGTAAATTTTAAATTTTATATGACCTTTAAACATTATAAGACCTTTACAATGCTTTGATAATATTGTTTCTTCATCATCCTAATTATTATTTTTTCTGTTCTGTATTTTTGATGCCATTCAAATTAATTGAAAAGAATGAAAATAAGGAAAAGGTACTTTTGAGTTTGTTTCACATATTTACAGCACAGAGCATCCAAATGCTGTAATTATTAAAGTTAAAACAGTGGCTTCTTACATTGCCTCTTCTTGAAGAATGCCGGTTACAGGCAGTGAAGTTGGGTAATTTATCTATTCTGGTGTTAAAATTTCTGTATAGTTTATCTTCTTGAAGGTTTATTTGCTATGGCAACATGATATGTAGGCAATTTTTCAAGAGAGATGCCTCCTGTGAGGATATTTTAAGGGAAACTAATCCTATCTAGGTGTTATAAATGTGAAATAAACCTAGGAAACTCCACATGGTTGGTCTGTTGGTTAGGCATGAACTCACAACTACCAGCATTCAGTAGTTTTATCAACTGGTGGGCACATTGTCTTGAAGGGTGTTAGCAACTATGAGGCAAAACTTCCTATACACAACAATGGTGTCATTGTACAATTATAAAGATTTTATTTAAGTGATTAAACTTTTGAATTTATTGTATTTACATCAACATTATATTTTATAGGAATATGTATGCAACACTGTAATTAAGAATTTTAATTTCTCTTCTAATATGTTATAACAAAACTTTTCCTTAAAGCTTCCTATTACAAATGAGCCCAACAGTGGCCAAGTGGATAAAATCACAGAACACTGGTAGTTAGTTGCACACCTGACCAATGGACTGACCATGTGGAGTCTTTCTGTTTTCTTCACATGTCTAACACTTAAATAGGATCCAGTTTTCCATAGAAACAGCAGATATTTGAGCTATTTGGTCTACAGTAAAAGACTTAATAAAAGATACAGAAAGATTTCACTTTCAATATACATATTTCTGATTAATTTTACTTGGAGGTTTAAATTATTTTTGCAAAAAGTAAAGAATAATTGCAGTTGTTGGTACCAAGCTACAGTTGCCATATTGTTTACAGATTTTGTGACATTTGTTCATATTATAAGCATAATTATGTGGCATGATATAAATTCGCTCGCATTTTAAAAATGTTCAGCAACTTTCTTTTTATTAACCAAAGATATGAAAAGATATTATGGAATCCCATAATATTTGAAACTTGAATTTAGGTGCATTAGCAGTCCATAGTTTGAAACAAACAAAAATCAGTAATTTTACGAAATTAGTAACAACTAATGATCGAGAATCTTAGCGAAGTACCGAAGGAAGGTTATTTCTATCAAATTGCAAAATCTGCACAGGCAAAGCCGTGGGTAACAGCTAGTTAAAAATAAAATTATAAAAACTTACTTGGTGAAACAAAATGTGTGGTGGATATACATAGAGTAGTTGTATGAATGATCAATTAAGCATCTCGATAGAGAGATTTCTATATAATCACTTAACAAACAGACATTTAACATAAGTAATGGTCATTGCTGTTTACTAAGAACTCGCACTACTCATTCAAAGAGTGACTTTTTAATTTTCTGTAATATTTATTAAATTAATGACATAATGTTTTTAAAATTTAAAAATCACCAGTGAGTGACCATATGGCTCTAGTAGTTGACCANATTATATACAGTTGTCCAACAGAAAAGTAAACTATCTTATTTACTAATCTTTTCAAAATAGACAGTTTGACCAGGCCCTTCTAAAAACCGGACCCTAGACATTTGTCTCATTTGTCTATGTGATGATCTGGCCCTGGATACAATATATCTATTAGCTGTAACTATCTTGTTATAATTTTCAATATTTATTTTATATTATTTACTAATGTTAAATTCTATTCTGCTTTGATTTCCAAATTGCTTCAATTTTACAAAAGAATCAATGTGACATTTATGATTTTCATGTCTTTTGCCAGCTTTACTCAAATTATTTAAACCATCAAAGTCATTCTTATTCCACACACTAATTTCATTTGAAAATAGTAGGCAAGGCCAACAAAACAATTTTTGCATTTTTATGCGTCCACAAAGCCATTTTATGTCTTCATAAATTTTATCGTGAAAATGTTGAAGAAATTTTTATGTTGAAATATTTATATTTAATTTAGGCATTAGTCTTTCTCTTTTAATAATGTTTTCTTTTTCATTATATGGTCTTGAGCCAAAACATTTTTAAAATACATTTTCAGTATTGCAATTATATTCTGAATTGCTAGCCATGATAAGCTATAAGGGCTAATATTAATTAAAAATAAAATTATAAAAACTTACTTGGTGAAACAAAATGTGTGGTGGATATACATACGGGGTACAAAATATTCTTCAATGGTATGAATATACTTTTAAAGAAAATTATAATTAAATATAGCTTTGTAAAGAAATGTACATGAAAATAACATAAAATTGTCATTACTTTTTAAATCTTAAAACAATCCACTTAGTCAAATAGCTTCCTATGAGTGGCTAATGGATGGAATCAGAGACAGTCTTGGTAGGTGTGTAGTGCGTGCATGCATGCAGTCTGCCAAATCCTGAGGGTGCCAATACTGGTCAATGTCAAATGCTTCTTTTATCACATCACTAGTATGCCTCAAAGGATGCGACAGGGTTGTAAATTTTAAACGTTTTCCACCATAGTTGTAAATATCTAAATATGTTAAACTTAATAGATTGTCCATCATTTGTTTTCTAACTAATTCATTTTAGGACCAGGTGTCCACAGAAATTTCCAAAATTACAACTTTTCGGTCACTCTCCATTGAACTGGAAAAATTTCTCTTTATTACATTTAATATTACGAAGAAATCAATCCCCACTGTACTCGGCTAGAGATTGGTTTGGTTAAGCTTTTGTTTAAGTAAAATTCCGACTTTTTCAACAGGGTTTTATTTATGTCCCTAATTCCCTAATCTCTTAATTATTTAACTACTTGTTAAGTAGAAATAAGTTGAAACCGGTTACTTTGAACTTGAATATTTGTAGTCTTGGGAAAGAAATTGAAAGAAATTTTTATGACAACAGATACATGAATCATAAATTTAAGGAATATAAATTCTAGAGCGTTTTTTGTACCATTCATTAAATTTAGTTGTAAATGATGCTGCCGAAATAACAGTTAATTTTTTAACATTGTACAAGAATTGTACATGTTTTTTCCTGCATCCCCTTATAGAAGGGACATACTAAATTGTAATATCACTGGTTTAACATTGAAATTCATAAGTAATATAAGATGGGAGAGCAGAATAAAAATATCAAATATTTTAATGGATTTTTTTAAAAACTCCTGTCAACTATACAGAACTATATCATTAAAAACATACCAGTACATTCCTATCGGTTGGGTTAAGTTATAAATTTACTCGTGATTCACATAATTAGGTGAGGACAGCCAAATATCTAGCAGGCAGGCAGCTAATAGCCCAGAACCATTCCTGGATAGAATCATTGAAAGTGTTATACAATATTTTGGTGTGTAGCTTCTATCAGCTAAACCACCTGAGGTTGGTGCTCTGTAAAGCACATGCACAAATGCCTATAATCTGGATACTTTACATCATTCAAATATTTTTACCATGGAAGCTGTCCCATATTATGCAATACAGTGCTTCTGTTGGGAATATCCATATATTCAAATTTATATTCGAATATACAAAAGCAATCTTATCGTTTTTTTCACATGTACGGTAGAGCGTTGATTATCCGAATCAATTGGGGACTGGGGTTGTTGGAAAATCGATATTTCGGATAACCGATTATGTACAAAAAAATATATTAACCTATCCCATGTTGAAATTTTCTCCGTTGCGTGTCGCTTTGCGTTGAATTTTCGTCGATGTTAAGCCTAACAAAGACTATTGTATCGTTAAAAATTATTTTTTTATTTTGTACAAACAAAATAAATATATTGAAAAATATAAAAACAATAAAAAATTATACTTCAGAAGTTAATTTAGTATCAAAAACGTAAAATATTTGAGTAGCCCAAGACATAGCCAAAGATTGCAGTGCCACAGCACCGGCAAAAATTTAAATTTGCAGACTGGAATTCTTTCGGATAATTGACTTTCGGATAATTGACACTCTACTGTAGTATAGAAATTTGTAATAAGATACATAATGCGGTTATAATGAAATATAAATTTTAATTAATTCAAAGTACATTCAAATATGAAAATAATTGCGCAATATGTATTTATATTTTAGAAAATACAAGGGAAGCGGCACTTCCACCGCTTCCAAGGATAGCATGCCACTGTAGTATATGTAGGATCTGTCCAAAGTGTTTGATGATAATTAAGAAATTGATTGTTTGTTACACCACAATTTTAATTAATGGGTTCTTTAATTTCTTGATTCATAAATTGTAATATTTTGAAGGCATTTGGTCTTATTTTGTAGAGATCTGATTCTAGTTGTGAAATAAATTTTGACCATGATTGTTGTCGTCTTCTCCTTATTTCTCTTTTTGCACTTGC